ATATATATATATATACACGTATATATATATATATATATATATATATATATATATATATATATATATATATATATATATATATATATTATATATACTGTATATATATATACACACACACACATATATAATGTACATGTGTGCAACAATAATTCTTTATTCTTCTTTGCTCTGATGAAGGCCATTTAAGCCAAAAACGTGTTTAGCATTCTCCATTTTCCACATGTGGTTTTTCTGCATAATGTACATGTATATACTGTACTGTATAACATTAATAATTGTATAACTAGCATCAAAAGATTGTCATTTACTTAGTTAAATGAGCTGGGGGGGTGGTTCAGTTCCTGTTACGGCCCTCTCGGGTCGCAACTGGGTTCTTACTCTGATGTTGTTAGAGGAAGGGTATCCGGCCCCAAGCCAGTAGTGGCTTTCAAGGGATGTGATCCGTAACGCAAGTACTGTAAATTAAAAGGGGAAGGGAAATAAAGTCAAAAACTTAATATAATATAATGACCGCCACCAATAAATAATATATAAAAAGATTACACGGGGGAAGGGGTATAAACACTTATTTACACTGTTGTCTTCTTCTGAAGACTCTGGATCCTCTTGGTGTCAAGCCCTCGGTGCTCTTGTGGCCTCACGACGAATTCTTCAAGAAGCTGAGTCTACCCCGGCCACAGGCTAGCCAAAACGCAGTTCCACTGGGGGCACCGCCGTGGAGGCCGTCAACCACAAGTCCAGCAGACTGCTGGCAGGTTCCGGATCAGCAACGCTGGTCAGGCCACTCCACGAGCGATACTAGGGTAGCGCCCTAGTCAGGAGCCTCGTGTGATACCACAGATCACTCTCCTGTCCACAATACCCCAGTGGTCAATCGTCTCCACCAGTCAGTCCCGGGTATGACAATCCTCAACTGCCGCTTCACAGGCAGGGTAACACCACAGTGTTCATCCGGGAGGCGACTCACAGCTGCTGCAGCAAAACACCTGGTGTCGAGACGGCTGCCTTGGGTAGACTGACTCAACTTCCCTTACAGCAGTCCCAGGTCGACTCTGTAAGCAGACACGTCATCAATAACAGGGACACACTAAAGCACCTCACTTACAGGCTCAGACACAAACGCCCACCTATCCACTCCATAGATGGCGTCGTCGTCTGAGCACCACCTCACCAGAGGTCAGCAACGGCTGTGTTGTGAGCTGCACAGGACTGGAAACTGGCCCTTGTGGCCGGTACACTTCGTCCTCGCCAGGTGTCATCGTCCATTTGGAGGGGGTATCAGGAGCTGACCCACAGATGGTGCGGTCGTCACTGCTCCAGGCTCGGACGCTGGATCCGGGTCCGTAACAGTTCCTGAACCGATTATTTGCCTCTGTAACCCTTCCAACCACCACCCACAGGATGGGTATGGGGTGCATAATAAAGAAATAAATTGAATTGTAAAATTCAACATATAAAGTCTCTGCCAGTTTGGCTTTCATTCTCAAAAGAGTACCAATGATGCCATTATAGTCTGCTTAATATAATCTACACAGCCCTTGATAAAAAAATGAGTTCCCAATTAGTTTCTTCATTGACCTGAGAAAGGCTTTTGATACTGTAAACCATAACTACCTCTTACTTAAATTTCACCACTATGGTATCCAAGGCCTTGCTCTGGACTATATTTGATCCTATCTCAGTGACAGACACCAATATGTAGCCATCAATAACAACCTCCCCCACTCTACCATTAACCGTACGGGTTCCGCAGGGCAGCATCTTAGGACCTCTCCTATTTCTTATATACATTTTTTTTTTTTTTTTTTTTTTTTTTTTGAGATATATACAAGAGTTGTTACATTCTTGTACAGCCACTAGTACGCGTAGCGTTTCGGGCAAGTCCTTAATCCTATGGTCCCTGGAATACGATCCCCTGCCGCGAAGAATCGTTTTTTCATCCAAGTACACATTTTACTGTTGCGTTAAACAGAGGCTACAGTTAAGGAATTGCGCCCAGTAAATCCTCCCCGGCCAGGATACGAACCCATGACATAGCGCTCGCGGAACGCCAGGCGAGTGTCTTACCACTACACCACGGAGACTGTGAACGTCACACATCAATGAACATCAATGATTTACCAAATGTTTCTAACATTCTTAAACCTATACTATTTGCTGACGATACTACCCTCATCTACTCGGACCCCAACCCCCACACACTAAATAATGTTATAAATAACAAATTATTAAAAGGCCACTCATGGATGTCAGCCAGCAAACTCACACTAAACACAGAAAAGACCTACTATATTTTACTTGGAAGTAAATCATCCAATCAGACTTAACTTCAGATAGACAATGTTAACATTACCAATAAAAATGAGGGAAAGTTCCTTGGCCTATACATAGACAAGAGACTCAACTTCAGCACCCACATACAACATACAGCCAAAAAAGTCTAAAAAAAAAATAGTCGGTATTCTTTCTAAAATCAGATACATTATATTCTTCACTCTGCTTTCCTCTCATTATACTAAGCACTAATATATCCCTATCTTACATATGGTATCTGTGCATGGGGTTCAACTACTGCAAACTACCTCAAACCCATCATCACCCAGAAAAAATCTGCTATCAGAAGTATAATAAACTCTGTCTTCAGACAACACACAGCCCCCTCTATTTAAGTCCCTTAACATGCTAAACATACACTCCACACATTCTCATGTGCTATCTACATGTACAAAACCTTGTTTCTAAATGCTAATTTTAACTGAAACCTTTGTTTAATAGATGTAATAGAACCCATAGTCACCACACCAGAAATATATATCTCTTTGATATCCCCAGATTCAGACTAAATCTGTGCAAACACTCCATGCAGATAAAAGGACCCAGTCTTTGGAGCTCACTCCCTGATGAATTATAAAGCTGTCCAACCTACGCCTTATTCAAACGTTAAAAAAAAAAAAGTACCAAATTTCATCCTCAGAGTTTTCTACCTTGTGCTTCAAACTCCCACTGTACTGTATCATGTACTACCCACTTCCCCAATATTAGTACTTAAGACATGTAACTTCACCAGTGTAATCATTTCCAGCAATTTATATGCAGTTGTTATACTAAACTCAATTGCTACAATGTACATCTTAATAACATAAGATGAAATAATGTAACATAATGCAGTATTAATATAACTTAATATTAACTGAACTGCTGTAATGTAGCCCACGCCCTAATTAATTCAAAGATCAAAGTCAACGTTGATATCAAATCAGATGTCAGAATAGATAAAAACAGTCCCTGAGCAGTACTCAAGACGGGACAACAAAAGTGACTTGAATAGTACAACCATTGTGATGGGATCCCTGCAGCTTTGAAAGTTCTAGTAATCCATCCTATCATTTATCTGGCTGATGTAACATTTGCTTGTTTGTGCTCCCAAAACGTTAGGTCGTCGGATATCATTAAATCCTTTACATGCTGCTTTCCTACTATGGGCAGATTTAATTGTGTTTTGTACCCTGTATTATGTTTAAGGTCTTCATTTTTACCGTAAGCCGAGTACCTGGAATTTATCACCGTTAAGGGGCCGTCTGGTTATTATAATGAAAGTTGTTCAATGTCAACCAATATTAATTTTCTAGTTGTATATGAAAAGTGCTTAAATTGTCCCAAGTTTCAGTACTGCAGCGTAAATAGAAAGGGAGTTTTTTTTTTTTTTTTTTTTTTTGAACGTTTTTTACACATTTTCAAGTCCACACTTCAGAACACACGTTTCAGATATAATTATTCTGTGACACTTTTCTGACACATTAGCATATAATAAAGGATTTGGGGATTTAGAATTTCCAAAACATCTTTAGTTTTCCTAATACAAATGTTCAAAGTTCCCCAAATTTTTGTTGCAAATATGGCATGTTTATTGCTATTATAAAATCAATAAATGAACTTAGAGAAAAATGAAAGCCCCCCAATGTAGAGACATGCCCTCCACATATACTGTGTAAGTTTCATGTAAATTGAATAAAAAAGGAATCAGTTTTGTAAACGTTTGTGTCAATTGAAAAAAAAACAGAAATGAATAAAGTCTAAGGTTCTAAAATCTGTGGCTGGGGTTGACATCAACCAATTTTCTCCAAAATTGGCATCCTTACAGATAGGCTTACGTACAGTCAGGTGTGTAAGTTTGATGCAAATCGCCCCAAAAAAATGAAAAAAAAAAATATTAAAAAAAAAAAAAAAAAAAAAAATCCTTTTTTTTTTTCCTTAACATTTTTTTCCAATTAAACTAATTATAATATTTGTTTAATATATGCTATTGTGATAGCAAAGAGTCGTAGTTATGATTTCAGTTGACACTTTTGATTGATAATCGATTTTGACCATTTTTGCATAATTTTCACAACTACTTCAATATTTTTTTTCTCCCTTCCTATTTATGCTACAATGCTGAAACTTGGACCAGATGAAACACTTTTCATATAGAACTTGTTAAAAAAGTTTGATTGAAATCGAATGAGTTTTCATTTTTGCATTTTTGGACCCAGATGCCAACCAGACGCCCCCTTAAACACCATGTTATTTTCTGCTGTCCAGTCAAAAACTTTATTAATATCTGCTTGTAGTTTTTCAATGTCTTCAGCAGAGGTAATTTTCATGCTGATTTTTGTGTCACCTGCAAAGGACGATATGAAGCTGTGATTTGTATTTTTGTCTATACTGTATCTGATATGCTTATATGAACTATGGGAAGAAAAAACTCTCAGCCTGGTAACAAGTCAGAAGTCATCTACTCCTGTACCCTCCTGTGTGGATAATTTTGTTTCCTGGCTAATTGTCCTTACGTTTTGATCGAGCGGAAAATGCTGACAGTTGAGTTGGCTTTGTATACCAAAATGCACTTTTTATGTGTGAAATAATTTATTATTTATAAATGTTCAATTTATTCTTTACATTATACAGTATATGTATACATAAAAATAATGTACAAAATTTTGAAGAAATTTTCTATCCACATAACATCTTAAAAACAGTTCTGCCAACCATAACCACATACAATTCTGCTGACAGTAGCCATATACAGTTCTGCTGACAGTAGCCATATACAGTTCTGCTGACAGTAACCACATACAATTCTGCTGACAGTAACCACATACAGTTCTGCTGACAGTAACCATATACAGTTCTGCTGACAGTAACCACATACAGTTCTGCTGACAGTAGCCATATACAGTTCTGCTGACAGTAACCACATACAGTTCTGCTGACAGTAACCACATACAATTCTGCTGACAGTAACCACATACAGTTCTGCTGACAGTAACCACATACAGTTCTGCTGACAGTAACCACATACAGTTCTGCTGACAGTAACCATATACAGTTCTGCTGACAGTAACCACATACAGTTCTGCTGACAGTAACCACATACAGTTCTGCTGACAGTAACCACATACAGTTCTGCTGACAGTAACCACATACAATTCTGCTGACAGTAACCACATACAGTTCTGCTGACAGTAGCCACATACAGTTCTGCTGACAGTAACCACATACAATTCTGCTGACAGTAACCACATACAATTCTGCTGACAGTAACCACATACAGTTCTGCTGACAGTAACCACATACAGTTCTGCTGACAGTAACCACATACAGTTCTGCTGACAGTAACCACATACAATTCTGCTGACAGTAACCATATACAGTTCTGCTGACAGTAACCACATACAGTTCTGCTGACAGTAGCCATATACAGTTCTGCTGACAGTAACCACATACAGTTCTGCTGACAGTAACCACATACAATTCTGCTGACAGTAACCACATACAGTTCTGCTGACAGTAACCACATACAGTTCTGCTGACAGTAACCACATACAGTTCTGCTGACAGTAACCACATACAATTCTGCTGACAGTAACCACATACAGTTCTGCTGACAGTAACCACATACAATTCTGCTGACAGTAACCACATACAGTTCTGCTGACAGTAGCCACATACAGTTCTGCTGACAGTAACCATATACAGTTCTGCTGACAGTAGCCACATACAGTTCTGCTGACAGTAACCGTATACAGTTCTGCTGACAGTAATCAATGTTCTAAGGTGCTCAGAAACAATAAACTGAAATACTCACAACTAGAGCACTCTTAGTGTGTGATACTCCTCAAAGCACGGAACTAAACATAACGCCACACGACATTCCTCGCAATAAAACCTCGTTTCCCTTCTTTGTCTCGGAGCTCGTGTGGTGGTGCGACAGAGAACGCACCCTCTTTTGGAGTATCGCTTCTTCATTTTTGTCAGAGGCAGTGACCGGGGAAAATGACGAGATGTTAGACGTAGTGGAAAAGTTGTTCTGCTTGTGCCACATGGCATCTTGAGGCGTCCGTGAGGCTGAGTGCGCATGAATGCCTGTAGTACCTGCCTTATTAGTCGTAGTTGAAAGTCAGTGAAGACAGGCGTCTTTCCAGTTGCTACTTGATAGAGAGTGTAAGTATTTAGGACAACCATGTCAAGGAGATGGAAGAAAAGCTTAATGTGCCACTTCGCTTTCTTCATCACACAGTCGACAGAGCTCGACCGTAAATGGCACTTGTCTATTTGGCGCACATTTGTGATGTAGTCCAGAACAGCTCTTGGCTTCTTTAATTTCTGCCCCTTTAACTTACCTACTTTAATACGACTATCTACCTTTACCACCTCGTGGACAGTCGACAACAGACGCATGTCTCTGTTTCCACACCATTTGAGTGCCAAGATATTATTTGCATGGAAAGACTGGCATTCACCTTTCTTCATTTTGGCATTGAAAACAGGCATACATTTCTTTTCCGTTCTCACGAGTCCACACGCTCCCGTCTTATTTTCACGCAGGTATCCGAAAAGTTTTAGGCTCGAGCACCAGCTGTCTAAGTACAAGTTATGGCCTTTCCCAAGGTATGTCTGCATTAGCGTCTGAACTACTGCACCAGACAAGCCAAGCTTCTCACATCTCACTACCTCAGAGTTAGCACCGGTGTACGCAATGAAGTCCAAGATGTATTCCGTCTCGCAGTCGCACAGTACGAACAACTGTACCCCAGAGCCGTGGCATTTGGGGATATATCGCTTGAAACTCTGGCGTCCTTTCCACATCATCAGTCTTCCATCAATCATAAGATTTTGAAATGGCTGAAAGAGTTGCCCAAATCTGATTTTCAACATTGAATAGATGGATCTTACCTTGTGAAGACTGTCACATTGTGTTTCACCAGTACCGTGAAGCCTGTCACCTTGTGTGTCACCAGAACTGTGAAGACTGTCACCTTGTGTGTCACCAGAACTGTGAAGCCTGTCACCTTGTGTGTCACCTGAACTGTTGACAAAATTAAGCATCTTGAGCAGTAAACAAAAGCGATGTTGTGGCATGACTTTTCTAAACATTGGAATCTCAAAGAGCGGATCTTTGGTCCAATAATTTCTGATGCGATGCTGCTTTGTGTAAGCCATCAACATCACCAGTGCCAGAAATGTGTATATTTCGTTTCTATTCGTATTTCTCCACTTGTTCATTATTGACGTGGCAGGAAACTTCTTGGTGTTGATAAGCTGGGTGTAGTACATGTTACTCTCTCTTACAATCAGGTCCACCAGGGAGGAATCAAAAAATTTCAAAAATATATCCAGCTCAGTGCTCTTGCTATCAATTCCACTATTTGCTTTTATACCAGAGTTTGAAGCATCAAAATCAAATACTTGAGGATCAAATGATCCCCCAGAAACCCATTTACACTGTATGTCGACTTCACCGGGGTCCGACTTGGTCTCGTCGTCCCCACTCGCTTCACTCGTGTCGGTATATTCCTGGTCGCTTGCGGCAAAATCAGAATTGAAGAGTTCGTCACTCGAATAATTTTCCGTGTCGCTTTCCTCTGTCGACTGAGCAGCCTCCTGGTCAGAATCACTTTTCCAATCCTCAGGTGTAGGTGACCGATCTCCACTTATTTGCTAGGGAAGAAAATAGCTTTTCAGAGCATGATATACACTAAGCTATTTATTAATTACAATTTACTTTAAATTTAATAATGAATTAATTGTTCATGAAGGAAAATCATTAAATCATTATAAACATTGATATTTTGAGATATTACTGTAACAAGAGGAAGTAATTATCAAAAGAAGCCACCAATTCCCAAGAGGAAAATTAGAATAACATGGACAATGGTTTCAATACACGAAACATGCAAATAGGCTCCCATGACAAGTAACCAAGGGGTGTATCCCCAATCTCCTGAAGCTGTCATATCTCACCATACAAAAAGCACTGAATTCATAAAACTATGTCACCTTCCACCTCCCTCTTCTCACGAACACTTACAATATAGAAAATTAATTATACCATCAATTTATCCATTCAAGCTAGACAAGATGTGAAGAGTTTGCAACACTCGGTTTTATGTGGTGGATGTGGGGGGTGAGGTGGTGGATGTGGGGGGTGAGGTGGTGGATGTGGGGGTGAGGTGGTGTTAGGTGGATGTGTGTGTGGGGGGGGGGGGTGTTTGGTGTTAGGTCGTACTAATGTTTACACATTTTGACACTTATGACAGTTAACCTGTCACAATGTAACATAAAACTCACATCATACGTATCTGACAGAGGAGGAGGATCACTATATCCAGGTGGCATAAGGTCAGTAATGTCGGGGACGGAACTGCTAGGACCTCCACACTGAAAACCTACAACAAAGAAAACAAACAGTTACAGGGTGTACTCACACAAATGCTTCTTTATTTGCCCAATTAGTACAGGCATTTTTACAATTGCTAGGAACATTTAAAACTATGGTAGAACCTCGAGTGACGATCGCCTCAAATGGCGAGCATTTTGGGTAACGATCGCCCAGATCGCTAATAATTTGTCTCGTATGGCGACCGCTCGTTTGAATGACGACAAGACCACATGGTGGGGTCGCGCTGCTTCTCGCACATTCTCGGGCACCTCCAACGATGCAAATAAATTATGTTGTTCTTGTTTAAAGATGCTAATGATGCTGGGATATAAAGGGGTGACTGCTGAGATGTTGCAAAGCAATGACTTTTTTGTAGAAAAAAGAAATGAAATTTTTTGAAATACAACAAATGTCAAAAAGGGATTGTTCGGTGTTCGGAGGTAGGCTGCTCTATGTTTCTTAAATAAAAAAAAAAAAAGTTGAAACAATTTGAAAAACGGACAAATGCCATAAAGATTGGTTCAGTGTTTGTCGGGTAGGCTGCTCCATTATCGAGACGTAAATGAAAAATACAAAACAAATGGAACACATTTGAAACAAAGAAAGATTGTCATAATGGAGCAGCCTACCCGACAAACACTGAATCTTTATGGCATTTGTCCATTTTTCAAATTGCTTTAACTGTTTTTTTATTTTTATTTGTTTATTTAAGAAACGTGGAGCAGCCTACCTGCTGAACACCTGGACCAGTGATCCAGGGAACATGGCCAGTTATTCAGGGATCATGGCCAGTCATCGAGGGAACATGGCCAGTCATCGAGGGAACATGGTAAGTCATCCAGGGACCATGGCCAGTCATTCAGGGAACATGGCCAGTCATTCAGGGATCATGGCCAGTCATCGAGGGAACATGGCCAGTCATCGAGGGATCATGGCCAGTCATCGAGGGAACATGGCCAGTCATCGAGGGAACATGGTAAGTCATCCAGGGACCATGGCCAGTCATTCAGGGAACATGGCCAGTCATTCAGGGATCATGGCCAGTCATCGAGGGAACATGGCCAGTCATCGAGGGAACATGGTAAGTCATCCAGGGAACATGGCCAGTCATCGAGGGAACATGGCCAGTCATTGAGGGAACATGGCCAGTCATCGAGGGAACATGGCCAGTCATCGAGGGAACATGGCCAGTCATCGAGGGAACATGGACAGTCATCGAGGGAACATGGCCAGTCATCGAGGGAACATGGCCAGTCATTGAGGGAACATGGCCAGTCATCGAGGGAACATGGTAAGTCATTGAGGGAACATGGCCAGTCATCGAGGGAACATGGCCAGTCATCGAGGGAACATGGACAGTCATCGAGGGAACATGGCCAGTCATCGAGGGAACATGGCCAGTCATCGAGGGAACATGGCCAGTCATCGAGGGAACATGGCCAGTCATTGAGGGAACATGGCCAGTCATCGAGGGAACATGGACAGTCATCGAGGGAACATGGCCAGTCATCGAGGGAACATGGCCAGTCATCGAGGGAACATGGCCAGTCATCGAGGGAACATGGACAGTCATCGAGGGAACATGGCCAGTCATCGAGGGAACATGGACAGTCATCGAGGGAACATGGCCAGTCATCGAGAGAACATGGACAGTCATCGAGAGAACATGGCCAGTCATCGAGGGAACATGGCCATGTAATAACTCGCCTTGTATTACACACCCCGCTACTACCACTGAGCTAACCGTGCAATCTCCGCTCTTTCTATGGTAATAACAGATGCTATACCGATCATGTAAGATGTTAACACTCGGGCCGTCATACGAAGACATAAGCCAGTAAACAGAAGAGAGAAAGAGAGGAAGAGTGAGGCAGAGCGAGAACGAGAGCAAGGGAGGGAGAACGAGAGCGAGTGAGGGCGAGGGAGAGTGAGACAGAAAGATAGAGATAATCGTAGTCACAGCCTTATGAGTATGAGTTACCGAGTGATGCTGCCACCACCCTGAGTTACCGGACAGGGGACCGGAGTGATATTCGTAGGTCTTGCAGATGGAATAACCTACCAGGACAGGTGTAGGGGACAATTGAACGGTACAAGGATCCTGGCCTGACACTCGAATAATCCTGACCACTTGGGAACTATAGTGTACACAAGAATAAGGCGGGACACACCCAATACTAACACCTCAACACGGAAGACAAACGGGGGGAGGAGTACTGAATAATTAAGGACACTAGGTCACTAGGGCAAAGGGGGACGATAGGCCCAATATCACTAAGACAAGGAACCATTAATACACATTTAATAACACTTAACAATATATGACTTTATTTGAAATAATTAAATAAGACACTCCCTAACTATATTCCCTACTAGAGGCCATGAGTACTGAATGAGGTGCTTTAGTACAAGAGAGCCGTACTTACTCGTATGTTGTTCCACAGTTTTCCTGGAGATGATGTTCCTTCCCCGAGTCCACACACACCGTCCTACTGGGCTGCGCCCACTCTACTGTCTCTTCCATGATCTCCTGCTCCTCAGCTGAACATGAGGGTTTTGCATTTGATGTTTAGGGGTTAATCCCTGAAGATTATCATGACGACATCAACTCTGACCTCTTCGTGATTCGATGACCGTTGACCTGACTCTATGGCTAACTTGTACAGAGGTGTAACTTTTACATTGTCTGCCGCCGCCTGACTGGCGACTGTGGTTTGTTCATCCTCCACGTGGCTTGTTCATGTTGTACTATGTACTGCTCTCTTGTTATGGCCAGTCATCGAGGGCCTTCGTGGATAGATCCATGATACTTGCCAAGATAGCCAGGGTAACATAATAGATGTGGAATCACTTGATTGTACCAAGCATAGCTTAGATATAAATATATATATATATTTAGGAGTCCAGGTGGATGTAAATAGAAGCTGCCTCATATGAGCCATTAGGCCTTCTGTAGTTTCCTTGGTACTGTATTTTGATTTACAAACACTGTTGGCTATAAAAGCTAGAGAGAACAGTACATTAAATAAATCAAATAAAACACTAACCAAAACATATGAGTATATATAGTTGAGCTACTAGGCGAGTACACACCTACTCTCTCACTGACTCGCCCACCTTTCAACACCACAGTACCTGTTGAGGACGGACCTATCAGTAGAGTATTGGTACTAACCTTCGGACACCGCAGTACCAGTGGAGGGAGGATCTGCTGGTGGCGGTGACGGCTGCATTGATTCCACTTGAGGCGACTCATAACAAAACATCACCGTTTGAGGCTAGAATAGAGAACTGTGACAATTACGGTACTGTATATGACGAATGTCCAAATACTTAATCCAACCTAAGTAAGTATCCATTGCTCAACGTAGCTTGTGCCCTGACATAGCAATGAGGAGCTACCAAAGGAAAGGAGGGACAAGGGGAACCAAAACATATATAATTGCACTTCTGAAGAACAAACACACTTAATGCAGTAAGGATAATCCATTAACCCTTACACTGCTCCAAATGTTATCTGTGATCTGTGCGCAAATCGTCATATGCAATTCATCTTGATGGCTTATCACGGGTAGGATTTTCAAATAGGTGCACAGTCAGAGAATCATTCATATCATCCAAAGAATGATCTCAATCTTAAATGTCCCATCTTATCATTAGTCAATCAATGTCAATCTCAATCGTAAATGACATGTTTAGTCGGGAAATTACCACCCCACCCAGAGGGCGGCCACAACAACAAACACAATATTCACTCCACTCACTACAATAACAGTGGACTACAGTATTATACCACTTATCAGGGCTACTATCATTAAATGAGATAAAATTATACGAAGATCAAATTATATGAGAGATCAGATTATATGAAGGAGATCAACTTAGATGAGACATCAAATTATATGAGAGAGAAGCTCAGATGAGACGTCAAATAATACGGAGGAGATCAATTTAGATGAGAGATTCAATTGAATGAGGGCAGAATAAATCACATAGTTGTACAGGCACAAAAACTCCCCACATAACCTCTCACCTGACTTGTGGGAATGTCTTCCAGAGACATGAAATGGCTGGCCAACTGAAGTGGGTCTTTAATGTCCTCTTCTTCCTTTATGCACACATCGGGGAAGTGATCACCATTATCCGCCCAGCTCTCCACTTCTAATGGCTCTGTGGTGAACAATCATTAAATGATAAGGTGAATTACATTTCCTATTTTCCACCAGAAAAAAACAGCGCTGAATGAAATGAAAAGCCATTTTCTGGGCGAGACCCTGAGGCTCCTTGGAGCTATCCAGACTGGAATGTTATTATTTGCCTTTTGGCATCAGTCAAAGTGCATGAAGTTCTCACAAACCCATCGTACCTTTTTGTAAATAAATAAATAAATAAATAAATAAATAAATAAATATGCATAATTTGTTTTAAATTTTCTTGACCCCAAAAAATTTGTTGGCATTTCTCTTTTCTTTTCATTATTCCACTGACATACCTGAACCTTTGATATTTGTCGTCTCTGGCCCACATTCCAGAGCACAACTCCATAGTCTCCTATGACTGATGAATGCCTACTACTGTACATTCTTGCAAAACCACTAATAAACATTTCAGAGCTTTTTATATTTTAACCCCCAGTGGAATATACTTACAAAGACAAATCAAGGAACGTGGGCCAGAGACGACTAATATCAAAAGTCCAGGCAAGTCAGTGGAATAATGAGGTCCATGTTAGCTAATATTTCCTAAAGTATCACACAAAGGGCAACATTTAGATGTGAAACATTCTTCACCAATTCCTTATTCCTTGTCTGTGCTCTACTGCACCACAATATTCCTCGTCTGTGCTCTACCTGGCCACAATATTGACTATGTGTTCTATCGCACCACAATATAATATTCAATATATTAAAAGAAACTCACCATCTTTCACGTCAATGAATTCATCGTCTAGGTATGTGAATGAGGTGCTACGAACTTCAGGTACCTGAAAGTGTTACAAAAGCGTTACAAATAATAATAATAATAATAATATAGAAATACCAATACAATAATACTCCAGTAAAATTTTTTGATAATTCTTGTTGTCAAGGACAGAAAACTTGTACAGGGTACAGTGACACCTCGGCTTACGAATGCCCCTATTTACAAACTTTTTGGGTTACAAGCCCAATTTCTTTATAAAAATTGAATTGGGTTACGAGCTTTGCCTCAGGTAATGTAGTTTGTTGATACGCATATGAGCGACCAACGCATGGTTCCTGGTGGCACGGGTGACCCGTCTCAATTTACCAGTGCCTCCTACTTAGTGACAATCGCGCTTGAATTCTTTGTAAAGAATTTCATTGTTTATTGTTTTTTTGGGATTTTGAACATAAAGGTAATTACAGTGGTACCTCAGTTTACGAATGCCCCTCTTTACGAACTTTTCGGTTTACGAGCCCGATTTCTTTGGAAAATTTGAATCGGGTTACGAACTTTACCTCGAGACCTCAAGAGACACGAGTTTGTTGATACGCGTAGGCTGACATAGCGCGTGGGGTACTGCGATCGCACCTCAGTTTCCCAGTGCCTTCCGCCTAGTGATGATCCCGCCTGAATTCTTTGCAAGGATTTACAGTTTCTTTTTTTGATTTTTGGCTATTTGAACATAAAAGTTGTTATTATATATCTCACCATGGGTCCCAAGAAAGCCAGTGGGTAGGTTTAAGGCAAGAAAACACATGTGAGAATGACCAGAGGAACAACAAGAGATCATTCGTAAACATGAAAATGGTACACGTGTTGTTGAACTAGCTAGGCAGTATAAGAAATCTTCGGGGGAGGTGGAGGCAGTAGAGGATGTCCCTTCCTCATTAATTAAGAAAATGTGTGCAGTATGGGAAGAACTGCAAAGTTTTGCTGAAAAGAACCACCCAGATAAAGCTTTAGTAGGCCGTTGCATTGATCTTATTAATGACAATGTGATGTCTCACTACAGACAAGTGTTACAAAGAAGGGAAAACAGAAACTTTCCAAACAGTAACACCTCTCCTCCTCCTCCCCCCTCCTCACCATCTTCCATAAGCCATCAGGAGTCATCAGTAAAGTAATAACTTGTACATAATTTTGTAGTGAAGATTTGGGTGAATTAGCTATAAAATTTACTTTGAAGTTAATTTTTTGGGTAGTCAAGAACAGATTAATTCATTTCCCATTATTTCTTATGGGGAAATTTGCTTCGGTCTACGAATTTTCGGTTTATGAATCGTCTCCAGGAACAGATCAAATTTGTAAACCGAGGTGCCCCTGGATTATATATCATGCCATGGGTCCCAAGAAAGTCAGTAGTAAGGTTCAACTGAAGAAAACACATGAGGATGGCCATAGGGCAAAAACAAAGAGCAAACAGCAAAGAGTGGTCCTCGGTAGGTCCACAGAACTCTATACATATGACTGATGCCAAAGTCTGACATTAGCATATCAGCCAGGAAAGCTCCGGGGAGCCGACGGGGCTTCCCCCAGAAAAAAACCCTGGAACAAGCGATGCAGATACAAAAGAGTTTAAGGCGAGCAGGGGATGGTCTGAGAAATTTAGAAAAAGAAGTGGCACTCATAGTGTTGTGAAAGTTGAGTGTTGTGTGTTGTGAGTTGGTGGAGGAACACGACGAAGAACTGGCCACTGAAGAACTCCTAGCCATTCACAAGGATCAGCAACAAGAGGCAGCCGAGGAAACTTCTTCAGAGGAGGAGGAGGCAGTACAGAATGTCCCTTCCTCAACAATTAAGAAGTGGTTGGTGTAGACTATGGGAAGAAATGCAAAGTTTTGTTGAAACGACTCACCCAGAGCAAGCCGTAGTAGGCCATTGCCTTAACCTTTATATTGACATTGTGATGCCTCACTACAGACAAGTGTTACAACATAGGGAAAACAAGTCTCTACGGAAAGGTTTTTAGTGAGAAAAACAAGCAGTGAGCCACAACCAGGTCCTAGTGGTATACCTGCAAAACATAGGAGAGAGAGTACCCGAGAGAAGTCCTCATTGCCTGATGTTATAATGGAAGGGGACTCCTCTTCCAAACACTAACCTCTCCTTCTCCCTCCTCACCGTCTTCCATACACCAACAACAGTCATCAATAAAGGAAAGCTATAATTTGTACGTACTATAGTACTAAATACTTGTGTGAATTAGGTATGAAATGTATTTTGAAGTTAACACTTTCGCGCTTTAGATTAGAGATAACTCGTCGCCGTTTTCTCTTACGATTCCGCATAACAGCCGAGTTTTCTCATCCATCGAAAAAATATTTCTATAAATTCCATTTTTTAACCGAAATGGATGGGGATACTTTTGTTTTGTAGGGAATTTATTTGCGAATGTTTTGATACCAGAATGAATATTATATCACATAAACTTCTATGAATAAAAAAAAAAAATACACAAAGTATGTTTGGGGGTGTGGCGAGCGTGTGGCAGTGGGTTCCCTTTAGCCGTTGATATATCCAACACGTGGGAAATATTTGTATGTGTTATGTATATGTCTGTGTAGGGAATTTTACTGCGATCACTGTCATACAAATTATAAAATGTTTCAACAAGTATAAACATGACAAACATCAAACGAACGAAAACAATGCGTTCGTTTCTGCCGCGAACGCATACTGAGCGACGTGGTTCTATATTTGGCGCTTCTCTTACACATGCTTTGTACAAATGTTATACAGTTCATCTTATAGAAAATTTTATTGCGAACACATTGGTATAAAAAAGAAATACGTACATAGAAAAGTAGGGTCAGGAAACGTATAAACTTTCCAAGCATGATTTCCCCCCTGTGTTTTCGCCAGTGCGCTCGCGGCTAACTACTCTCCACTTCACACACTCTTGCGGGTGGGCAATTACCTATATTAAACATTCATATGCATATGTCCGTGTAGAGAATTTTATTGCGATTCCAATGATACCAAAATTAGCGATGTAGGACAACTGTAGGTTTCGCAACCAATAAGAGAGTGGAAACATTTTGTTGCTGTTTGGCGCTCTCGGCGAGTGATCTACATAGTTTTTTATTTGGTGTTGATACTCCTTATGCTTGGGCGGCATTTTATAGGTATGCTCTTATAGACAATTTCATTGCGAACACAGTGATACCAAATTTAAATACGTGCGCCTTCAATTATTGTCAGGACAGTCAAAAGAGTGTACACTTTTCGGTCTTACCGCGTAGGCGCGCGAAGTGCCGAAAGCATCTGGGGTATTGTTTTTTTTTGAGCGCCGAGAGCGCGAAAGTGTTAATATTTTTGGGGGTGTGGAACAGATTAATTCAATTTACATTATTTCTTATGGGAAAATTCATTTCAGGTTGCAAATTTTTGGCTTACGAACCTTCTTTGGGAACAGATTATATTTGTACACGGAGGGGCCACTGTACGTAGGCTTACTGAAGTCAACCCCCCCTAGGATGCCGCCCACAACAGTTGCCCAACTCCCAGGCACTTACCTAGGTATTTACTACTAGGTGACGAGAGGCATCTCCATGGTGTAGTGGTAAGACACTCGCCTGGCATTCCGCGAGCGCTATGTCATGGGTTCGTATCCTGGCCGGGGAGGATTTACTGGGCGCAATTCCTTAACTGTAGCCTCTGTTTAACGCAACAGTAAAATGTGTACTTGGAGGAAAAAACGATTCTTCGCGGCAGGGGAGGCCTACTACAGCTTTATCTGGGTGAGTTTTTTCAACAAAACTTTGCAGTTCTTTCCATACTTCACACATTTTCTTAATGAGGAAGGGACATCCTCTACTACCTCTACTCACAGCTATTTTCTTAGGTTGAACCTTACCACTGGCTTTCTTGGGACCCATGGCAAGATATATAATAACTTTTATGCTCAAATGGCCAAAAATCCCACAAAAAACTGTAAATCCTTGTGAAGAATTCAGGCAGGATAGTCACTGGGTGCGAGACACTGGTAAATGGAGGCGCAATCGCCGTGCCACCACGTGCTAGTCAGCCTGTACGTGTATCAACACTCTCGTATTCCAATGTAAATTTTCTGAACAAATCCTGCTCGTAATCCGAAAAACTCGTAATCAGGAACGCTCGTATTCCGACGTACTGCTGTATGATGAATGGAAGACCATTACTTATGAGTAACCCGAGACCTACTCACCATTATAACTTCTGCCCTCTTGTTAACCTGTGTGTTGTTGCATATATATTATATACAGTATACACATGTATGTACATATGTACATACCCACACAAGAGAAGGTACCTGGCTGTGCCCAGATCCCCCCCGCTCTCTTTCCATCTCCTCTGCCCACAAGATCCCCCTCTACCCCCCACGCTATTCTGTCCCCTCTCCTTCCCCAGCTGCCAATTCTCTTGCCACTACTGCTGTCACATTACTTAAAACCTTCACAATCCGCTTCGTTTGCATTCTCTCGTCAGAAACGATACTGTTAACAATGCCATTCTCACCACTCACTCACCGTGGAAAGTCCGAATTTCATTCTTTTCGCTGATTTCTTAGGCACGTCAGCCTGCCAGTTGAAGAGTGCATTGATTTCATCTGTCAATGCATAATCAACCAGCTTGAAAGACTTCTTCCTCACCCGGCCAGAGCGCGACACACCTACAAAATATAAAATAGATCAGTAGTTACCAAAGACAAAATACACACGACAGCAATCATGTAACATATACAAACTAGAGGAATCTTGTAACGTACAAACACTAGAGAGAATCACGGGCATATATACCCTGTTTCAATACCCATGTTATTAATTAACAACAACTAGGCTCAGACCGCTACATGTGTCAGCAATAACCTGCATCTGGCAATCTTTAGTTCTGTTTAAAAGCCTATCTAAATCACAGGGCTGGTACTGTATGGGCCACTGTAATGTACTGTAAAGTACTGTAATAGGCCACTGCAAACCAGGCATGACAGGGCTGATCTCATCAAAACTTTTAAAATACTGAACAGTTTGGGGGATGTTGATTCGGACATCTTCAGAAGGTCAGATGTAACAAACAAGGAGCAACAGTGTCAAGCTCAGCAAACCACAATTTAACACAAACAAGAAGCAACGTTTCATGGAGTTTCCAATGACCTCCACAATCCAGGCCAACATGGATTTAGAGCAGGAAGATCATGCCTCTCACAGCTACTTGACCATTATGACAAAATCACTGAGGCATTAGAAGAAAAACAGAATGCAAATGTGGTATACACAAATTTTGCAAAGGCATTCGATAAATGTGACCATGGAGTGATAGCACAAAATGAGGTCAATGGGAATACCTGGTAAAGTAGGATGTTGGATACTCAATTTTCTGTTAAACAGAACACAGAGAGTAACATTTAACCATATAAAATCGAGTCCAAGCGCAGTTAAAAGCTCAGTACCTCAAGGTACAGTCCTTGCACCACTGCTTTTCCTTATTCTCATATCAGATATAAACTCAAATACAAGGCACAGCGTCGTATCATCCTTTGCAGATGACACAAAAATCAGCATGAAATTTACCTCTGCTGAAGATATTGAAAAACTACAAGCAGATATTAATAAAGTTTTTGACTGGGTAGCAGAAAATAACATGATGTTTAACAGCGATAAATTCCAGGTACTCAGATACGGTAAAAAGGAGAACCTTAGACATAATACAGGGTACAAAACGCAATCAAATTTGCCCATAGTAGGAAAGCAACATGTAAAGGATTTGGGAATAATGTCTGACGACCTAAATTTTAGGGAGCATAACCAAGCAAATATTGCGGCAGCCAGGAAAATGATAGGATGGATTACAAGAACTTTCAAATCCAGGGATCCCATCACAATGGTTGTACTATTCAAATCTCTTGTGCTGTCCCATCTTGAGTACTGGTCAGTACTCACTTACCCCTTCAGAGCAGGAGAGATTGCTGAAATAGAGGGAATACAGAGTACATACATATACGGGATACATAAACGAGATAAAGCATCTAAATTATTGGGATCATCTCAAAGCTCTCCGAATGTACTCGCCAGAAAGACGACGGGAGAGATATAAAATAATAAACACGTGGAAAATACTGGAGGGACAGGTCCCAAATCTGCACAGTAAAATAACAACATACTGGAGTGAACGATATGGAAGAAAATGCAGAATAGAACCAGTGAAGAGCAGGAGTGCCAAAGGCACAATTAGAGAGAACTGTATAAACATCAGAGGTGCACGGTTGTTCAACACCCTCCCAGCGAGCATAAGAAATATTGCCAGAACAACAGTGGACATCTTCAAGAGGAAACTAGATAGTTTCCTCCAAGGAGTGCCCGACCAACCAGGCTGCAGTGGGTATGTGGGCCTGCGGGCCACTGCAAGCAACACCCTAGTGGACCAAACTCTCACAAGTCAGAGTATAAGAACTCCCAGAACCCCATCAACCAAGTAAGCAGGTATCAACAGTGTCAAGCTCAACAAGCCACAATGTAACACAAACAAGGAACAACAGTGACAAGCTCAACAAGCCACAGTGTAGGACAGAGAACAGGTGCATCTTCACCTGCAGGGTTATTAACCCAAGGAACCGCCTACCCGCTAATGCCACAACATTGCTGCAATGTAAGATCGAGCTCAATAAAACCATCACAACAAATGGGGGGGGGGCTTATTGACAAGCTGTTATTGTCAACAATATTGTTATTGTTATTTCTATTCATAAATGTATACTTTTATACATTTATGAATAAAAATGTAATTCAATTCCATAACTTTTTTTATAACATCAAGATGATAAGTTTAGTCAACTTAAGGGGACCTGGTGATGTAGAGTATTTTTCAAATTATGAAAAATAGCGGAAATTTTTAAGCAAATCTCCTATTATTTGCCATCAGCGTCATGAAATTTTTATCCCAATATGTTAAGAAATCATTTTTTTTTTACGAATTTTTAAAAATGAATGCGTGAGCGACAGGCGGCAACCTCCTACTAAGTGGCTCCCAGAACTGAAGGGCAAGAGCTACGAGGAGAGGATAGAGGCATTAAATATGCCAAAACTGGAAGACAGAAGAAAAAGAGGTGATATGATCACTACATACAAAATAGTAACAGGAATTGATAAAATCGACAGGGAAGATTTCCTGAGACCTGGAACTTCAAGAACAAGAGATCATAGATTTAAACTAGCTAAACACAGATACCGAAGAAATATAAGAAAATTCACATTCGCAAACAGAGTGGTAGACGGTTGGAACAAGTTAAGTGAGAAGATGGTGGAGGCCAAGACCGTCAGTAGTTTCAAAGCGTTATATGACAAAGAGTGCTGGGAAGACGGAACACCACGAGCGTAGCTCTCATCCTGTAACTACACTTAGGTAATTAGTAATGATAATAATAATAACACCTATTTACTAGCAAATCAGAGATAGAGACGAAAGCACCGGTCCAATGCACAAAGAAGAAAAGTACAGTAGTAGTAAGGAGAGTCCACAAAGTAGATATGCAGCTGCTGCCACCTGGAGGGCCAGATTTCACACATAATAATGAGTATGTTATTATGTTGTATTTTATTATAAATCACATAAATACATTGCCCCGATGGCAATATTTCTTATGCTGACAACCCCCTTTTTTTTCTCCTTTGTTTTTATGTGAATTTTGTTGTGATTTCTACATCTTAAAGAATGCATATCCGACACCAAGCTTGTGAAGTTGGAACAAAATTGGCCAACATGTTAGCGAGTCACAGGAGGCCGAAATTGTGACTTTTATTTTTTTGGCCGATTTATTTACAGATTTCAAACTCTATTCTCATTGTCTCTTTAGGTTGTATTAATGAGGACTAGGTGAAGGCCTTAACACTTACATATGGGCAATAAAGTTACTGTAATATATATATATTTATCCCTAACCTATCCTTATATTTTTGTTTTTTTGGGCGGTTATTTTTTCTTGACTTCATGTCAACACATATTGACCGACAACTTTCACATATTTGAGTATGAATGCCAACCAATGTTTATTAAAACATTTAATAAAAATTCATTAATTAGAACTACCATATTCATTGTCGATAACTTAAAACTTCAATTATCTCTCTCTCTCAAAAAAAATTCAACTCCGAGACAGCTTCAAAAATTAAGTGTGTGACCGATTCTCACCATTTTTACATATGTGCAATGTGCTTAGTTCTAAGGTTTACTTGCTCTCGTTTAGTCATAAACCCATAACTTTTGGAGTTAAATTTTTGGCATCTAAATTTTGCACATATTTTGATGGCCATATTGAAAAAATCTTTTACAGTAAACTAAACTCTCAAACAATATTTTTCAGCGAGGAAACTGAATGCTATGTGCTATTCTGAGACCATAATGAATAAAATAATATTTGGTGACATTTTAATACTTTTAAAGCTAATTTGAAATTTTTTAATTTTTTAATTATTTTTTATTTTATTTTAACTTTTTTTCTGTTCATGGTATGATGTTGATCCATTAGGAAAAGTTGGAGCATTTACCATTAAGAAACTATTCACAATTTTTTTTAATGTGCTTGAGGAAGTTTCCGTGTACCGTCACCGAGCTTCTTAATAAGCATACGAATGACTTGAGTGGGGGAAAAGGTTGGAGATATCTGACTGCTGAAACAAATACCTCTGCAGGGTTTAAACATTGAGAAGAAACGATTAACAATTAGGCGTACATGACTGGGTATAAGAAGGCCACGTATGGCTTCGAGAGAGGACAGCACAAGATGGCAAGGGTGTGGCTTTAGTATATAATCCGGTGAACATAGGATTAAGGACTTGCCCAAAACGCCATGCGTACTAGTGGCTGTACAAGATTGTTAGAACTCTTGTATATATAAATAAATAAAAATATATACCTGTGGCCACGGCCGATGCATTTGTGGTTGATGCTGCCATGGTCTTGCATCAGTGTGGTCACCAATCACTGGCCTCGTTCCAATGCGACTACCAGTCACTGGCCTCGCTCCAATATGGCCCCCAATCACTGGCCTCGCTCCAATATGGACACCAATCACTGGCCTCGCTCCAGTATGGACACCAATCACTGGCCTCGCTCCAGTATGGACACCAATCACTGGCCTCGCTCCAGTATGGACACCAATCACTGGCCTCGCTCCAGTATGGACACCAATCACTGGCCTTGTTCCAATGCGACTACCAATCACTGGTCTTGTTTCAGTGTGGCACCAATCACTGGCCTGTTCCAATGCGACTACCAGTCACTGGCCTCGCTCCAATATGGCCCCCAATCACTGGCCTCGCTCCAATATGGACACCAATCACTGGCCTCGCTCCAGTATGGACACCAATCACTGGCCTCGCTCCAGTATGGACACCAATCACTGGCCTCGCTCCAGTATGGACACCAATCACTGGCCTCGCTCCAGTATGGACACCAATCACTGGCCTCGCTCCAGTATGGACACCAATCACTGGCCTCGCTCCAGTATGGACACCAATCACTGGCCTCGCTCCAGTATGGACACCAATCACTGGCCTCGCTCCAGTATGGACACCAATCACTGGCCTTGTTCCAATGCGACTACCAATCACTGGTCTTGTTTCAGTGTGGCACCAATCACTGGCCTGTTCCAATGCGACTACCAGTCACTGGCCTCGCTCCAATATGGCCCCCAATCACTGGCCTCGCTCCAATATGGACACCAATCACTGGCCTCGCTCCAGTATGGACACCAATCACTGGCCTCGCTCCAGTATGGACACCAATCACTGGCCTCGCTCCAGTATGGACACCAATCACTGGCCTCGCTCCAGTATGGACACCAATCACTGGCCTCGCTCCAGTATGGACACCAATCACTGGCCTCGCTCCAGTATGGACACCAATCACTGGCCTCGCTCCAGTATGGACACCAATCACTGGCCTTGTTCCAATGCGACTACCAATCACTGGTCTTGTTTCAGTGTGGCACCAATCACTGGCCTGTTCCAATGCGACTACCAATCACTGGTCTTGTTTTACTGTGGCCCCCAATCACTTGCCTCGTGAAATAGGCCACCAGTCACTGGCCTCGTGAAATAGGCCACCAGTCACTGGCCTCATGAATTTGGCCACCAATCACTGGCCTCATGAATTTGGCCACCAATCATTGGCCTCATGAATTTGGCCACCAATCACTGGCCTCATGAATTTGGCCACCAATCACTGGCCTCATGAATTTGGCCACCAATCACTGGCCTCGTGAAATATGCCACCAATCATTGGCATCGTGAACTAAGGCCACCAATCGCTGGCATCGCGAAATGAGGCCACCAATCAGTGGTCCTGCGCTAATAAGGTCGTCAATCACTTCGCTAATCCCATAAAAACTTTTCCTTCAAATCCAATCAAATTCGCCTTGTCCTCCACAACTTTGTTTACAATCTGCAGACGAGAACCTCCTACTCTTGCTCTCCGCCAATCACAGTGTCGTTTAGAAATGCTCGAGGCTCATTGGTTCATTGGCATGCAACGATGGCTCTCATTCGTCGGTTTGACATTGGCAGCCTTTTCAATTTGGAATAGTCAAAAGAGAATTCATTTTTGGGCTAATTATGATATTTTTTAATGGATTTTGGGGTGGAATGAAGTATAATATTGAGGGAAAGCGCCTGACGAGGCATTCATGTCGGGAAATAAGGAAAATGAGGGATATTTCCTGAAAAGATGCGTTAATCCTGGAATTTATGGTGTAGCAGGAATGTATGATTTCCAAGATAACATTGTTATATGACCATTGTTATTTTACGGTGAGGGTTTTAAAATAATTAAATCAATCAGCATAGACAGGTACAGTAGGCGGGAGGGAGGTAACAGCATGTGTGCGGTGCCGGACCTGACATCATCCCTTGAAATAGATTTACAGTTGCATCCTGAATTTTTTTTAAATTTTATGCCAAAATATCCTCATCTGAGGCTGGAATGAGCGTAAATATGGGCGTAAATTTACGAATGGGCGATGTAGGTTTGAATTTGTATGACGTATATATTGAAATTTGTTGGTGATGTGTTTGCCGCCAAGCCGTGACGTCATGTCACGTGACCCACTCCAGCCCTGCACGTTCCTATATTATGAATAAAAAAGTGGTTTAGATGTTTGGTTTTAATTATATTATACTTGCATTACATGTGGAGCATTTGGCTGGATTTTTTATTGTTAGGAATGAGTGTTAGAGGTAGTAGTTGTGGGTGAGGGAGAGGGTGTGAGGGCGGGTTTAGGAGAGGTTGCGTGCCGAGGGAGAGTGTGAGGTGAGTGTATGGACGCCGCTAGTGTTGACAAGTGTGGCTCGCCGCCCCCAGACACCAGCCGTGTGGCCGCCCTTCTCTCACCCCACCACCGTCACCAGGGACCACCAGTGACCGCCACGAGGCCCCGCACCCGCCAGTAGTGGCCGCCACGCCCCCGCCACCCACACAACATGTCCACCCGCAGCACCAGGAAGGTGACGGTCACTTCGAGCTCCTCCACCAGCAGCAGCACCTCCGCCGCCGCCGCCACAGAGACCCCTAAAGCCACCAGGGATGCCGGCACCTCCAAGACCCCAGGCAGCGGGTATGGCCGCGCCCGCTCCTCCCCTCTGAGCCCTACGCGGCTCTCCCGCCTGCAGGAGAAGGCGGAGCTGCAGAGCCTCAATGACCGCCTCGCCGCCTACATCGACCGGGTCCGGCAGCTGGAGTGCGAGAACAGTCGCCTCAACATGCAGGTGGAGACGATCCAGGAGTCTGTGACGAAGGAGGTGGTGTCGATGAAGGGGTTATACGAGCAGGAGCTGAGTGACGCCCGCAGACTGCTCGACGACACCGCCAGGGAGAAGGCCCAGCTCCAGATCGACGTCGGCAAGATCAAGACCGACAATGAGGACCTGCGGATCAAGTGAGTACCCGGGGAGGTGAGGTTTACTGTCTGGTGGGTCGTGGCTCTCTTGGCTGGCGGCGGTGGGTCGTGGCTCTCTTGGCTGGCGGCGGTGGGTCGTGGCTCTCTTGGCTGTTGGCGGTGGGTCGACCTGTCGTGGCTCTCTTGGCTGGTGGTGGTGGGTCGACCTGTCGTGGCTCTCTTGGCTGTTGGCGGTGGGTCGACCTGTCGTGGCTCTCTTGGCTGGTGGTGGTGGGTCGACCTGTCGTGGCTCTCTTGGCTGGTGGTGGTGGGTCGACCTGTCGTGGCTCTCTTGGCTGGTGGTGGTGGGTCGACCTGTCGTGGCTCTCTTGGCTGTTGGCGGTGGGTCGACCTGTTGTGGCTCTCTTGGCTGGTGGTGGTGGGTCGACCTGTCGTGGCTCTCTTGGCTGGTGGCGGTGGGTCGACCTGTCGTGGCTCTCTTGGCTGGCGGCGGTGGGTCGACCTGTCGTGGCTCTTGGCTGGTGGTGGTGGGTCGACCTGTCGTGGCTCTCTTGGCTGGTGGTGGTGGGTCGACCTGTCGTGGCTCTCTTGGCTGGCGGCGGTGGGTCGACCTGTCGTGGCTCTTGGCTGGTGGTGGTGGGTCGACCTGTCGTGGCTCTCTTGGCTGGTGGTGGTGGGTCGACCTGTCGTGGCTCTCTTGGCTGGCGGCGGTGGGTCGACCTGTCGTGGCTCTCTTGGCTGGCGGTGGTGGGTCGACCTGTCGTGGCTCTCTTGGCTGGCGGCGGTGGGTCGACCTGTCGTGGCTCTCTTGGCTGGCGGCGGTGGGTCGACCTGTCGTGGCTCTCTTGGCTGGCATGGTTGGCAGCAAAACACACACGACGTGTTTTGCGGTGTGTAGTGTAATTGTAGTAGTAGGGCATAGGGTCTGTTTTAATTCCTTAAAGTTGTTATTGTTTGCAAACTAAATTTTAATCTGATAATTTGTTAGGCCTACAAGGCCAAATCAGCAAGTTGGTGTTTTGAGTATGCAAATGGGTATATTTGATGGTGTATGTTTACAGTAGCTTTTAACATAATTGACAAGTCGTGTGGTGTAAACTGAAGTAGCATGGGCCAGTAGACTTTCAGCATCGTTAGTGGAAGGGTACAGTAACGGGTTCCTGAAACTGTAGTACCCAAGGGCTACTGTTTACAGTACGAAATTAAATAATGTAAAGACTAGGTTTGTGAAGTGAGTAATAACGAGGAACAACTCCTCGCAATGAATACAGTATCGAGTGAAAGTCATACACATCTATATACTTAATTCATAAATGTTAGTTCGGGGCATTTATAGTTGGGCTAGTTTCTGCAAATTTACAGTAAATTATTTACACAGGTCATAATTAAAATACATTAACAATTTATATTTTTGGGATACAACATTAACAATTTATAATTTTGTGATACAAGCTGCATAAACCAATTGTGCTGTGCATTTCGTTTGACCTGAATGTTTGTTTATTGGTAACAATGAACAGTAAAGAATGCACATTTTTTGTGAAGCAAATAAGTTGCATACTGAATTATGCAGTGTGTACATTTCTACAATGACGGCCCTGTTTGTTTGTCATAGATGCAAATGACACTAAATTGTCTGGGTTGTAGATGAAGCTTTGTTTGTTTACATAATGGGTGTAAATTGTTTATAATCGGATCTGGCAGATTTATATTGTTTTATACCCTTGTGAATGTTTATATTTGTCTTAAGTTTTTAATCACTGGGATTTAAATAATTTGCTGTGACATAAATGCATATTAAGAATGCTATTGTATTTAATAAAATAAATAAATAACTAAATGTTTATTTAGGTAAGGTACATACAAGAGATTTTTACAAAGAATGATGGATTTATAGATAGGGCTAGTACATACAATGCCTAAAGCCACTATTACGCAAAGTGTTTCAGGCATAAATTCTTTACAGTAGAACTATTAGTTTTCAAGTTAAATGTCTTGGAGGGAAGCATCAAAGAGTAGTCTTAGTATATTCATAATTTTTAATCATTAGTTTTAGTCGGGGACAAGAAGCCAGTGTACACACTTTAAGCTTGTGTCGAGGTCAAACCCTCCCCCCCCCCCAAATGCACAAAGGTCAAACTACTGAACTTAGCAGGGTGCAACCCCACAACAGTTGTCAAGACTAAATCCTAGATGCTTATTTACTGCTTGGTAAACAGAGGCATCAGGTGAAAGGAAACTTGCCCAATCATTTGTCTCGACTGGGAATCAAACCATGGTTCCCAGGTTCTAATACTGTATATTTAACTATTTAATTGTTTAAATTTTAATTGTAGAGTGCATTGTGGTGTGCATAAGACATTTTAAGAAACTAGGAATATATATGATCACCTTGTTCACGAGTCTCAGAGCACTGCTCTACCATTGTGGCGAATAACTGCTCTACCACCGTGGCAGACCGCTGCTCTGCTGTTACCAATTTAATTTGTTCCACGTGTTCATCAATAGCCAAGCAGAGACTACGCAGAGTTCCAATATTATTTTTAGTATTAGGTAGAGCTCATTAAATACCATTGTTGATATTGTACTGCAATGTACACAGCACCATTCAATTACATGAGCATGAATAGTCAATATCTGGCCTTGGGTGTCGTGGGGGGGCAAGGTACAGAATATTGAGGCAAGCATGGCTCTTCGTGTTAAGTGCTTGCTAGGGTAATAGACTTTGATTCTTTAATAGCATAATATCCAAGGAGTGCTTGCTAGGAAAGTACACCAGAAGGAAGTATTCGTTTTTCATTTTACAAGATACACTATTTAAATATTTTTTTTGTATGGGTTGGTCTTGGTAAAGATACATGACTGGTGGTGCTTAAAATACCTCTACAGTATTGTATGACTTTATGATAAACTTTAAAAAACAAATGTTACATTGTAGACTTTTTAAATAGTCATTTAAGACTGTGACTTTAATAATACCATTTAAGATGTGTATAGTACTAATGGTGGAACTGGCATCATTGTACCCATTCATTAAGGGGACTAGGGGGAGCGTCCACCGCAGGTACTCCAGTAAACAAACAGGTGTGACGAGGTGTCAACAAACAGGTGTGACGAGGTGTCACGTGGTTGTCACCAACATCTTCCCGCCAGATTATACGCAACAAAAACTTGTTTTGTTCGTGTTGATCTCCAGTTTACCAGCATTGAGGACCCATGTCAGGTTAACGCATTATAGAGGTATAGGAATATGTAGCTTTTTTAAAGAGAGACTTAAGAATGTAGTTTAAAAAAAATTGTAATAAAAATATAACTTGTTCTTATCTTTCTGTGTGTGGTAGATTTTAATTTTGGTCAGGCTAACTGGTTAATGATTCGTGTATGTCTGCGGATAACAGTTGTGGACAAGCTAGCTTTTATAATGTAGTATTATCCACATGTGGTGTAAACAATTTAGTTGTACCAGAGGCTGTGGGAGGAGTAGAGCTGGCAGAAACCGTCTCCGTGTACAAGTACTTGTATAAGGGACGCCCCCCTTCCTTCACGACCCTCAAGGGCTTCCAGATCAATATGAGAGATGGCTTATTTTACCCCGAGGATGCCCATGGCTCCGTGTTGGCTGTGGGGCGGGGTTTGTGTGTGGGGGTGCGTGCACACGCGCGCGCCGCAATGGCCACCCTACTGATGAACCTTTTGATACATATTTTTATATAGTCAACCCAGATTGTGGGAATTTATATACTCTTTGTTGTGTACGAATGTTTCGCACGCTCGTTGCCTATTATGTAGGCATACATTACATATTTTTAGTCTGTATTTGGGGGAAACTGTCCAACCACTGTAGAGCGACGGTCTCGCTTCCTGCAGGTCGGCGTTCAATCCCCCGACCGTCCAAGTGATTGGGCACCATTCCTCGCCCCCGGCCAAATCCTCACCCTGACCCCTTCCAAGTGCTGTAAAGTCGTAATGGCTTGGCGCTTTTCCTTCGTACTTAAAATTTGAGGAAACTATACAGGACACATTTCCATAGGCTTGAGGTTGTGTGTGTGAGTCGTGTGCACCGTAAACTCCATAAAATACAGCTTTGGGGGCAACAGGTGCAGCAGGGTGACGGGTGGGAGTGGTTGGGCAAGAGGTCGGGTTGAAGAATTCCACAAAAGGGGGTCAGATCCCACACCCTCACGTCTGGGTGCCCATGTGGGGCGAGTGGGTACGGGAGGGGGGGGAGGGTTCTAAAGAGCCGCCGTACACAGGTGCACACGTTCCTGAGAGGTGGATATTGTACGTGTACCTGCATGAGGTACGGTATGTGTACCTACAGGAGATGTACGGTACGTGTACCTACAGGAGAGGTACGGCACGTGTACCTACAGGAGAGGTACGGCACGTGTACCTACAGGAGAGGTACGGCACGTGTACCTATAGGACAGGTACGGCATTACGTCGCTGCCTCGTCGTGATGCACATATATTTCCCATATTACCCACATATGTTATTCCCACATGTAATTATATTCGATTATTTCTGCTGGTCGCTATATCAAACTGATATTTGTAGTCAGTTGAACTATAAATTTCGCATTATATTGAGTTCGTATAACGTTCTTGGCGTTATTTAGTCATTTGAAGTGATTGGCTTGGTCATTGTCAGCGGACGGTCAGAGGCTTGACTTGTTTCATCTGGCCAGGGTGGTAATGTCGTTTGCCCATTCAGTTACTGGCCAGGCTCAACGGTGCTTAACCTGGCTGATCTGATGACATACATTATACCTCGTATCGCGCAGTTGGATAGGGCGACACTTGATTGGTTGGGTGCCATGATCTCTGGGCTCAACGTCCCCGCGGCCCGGTCCTCGACCAGGCCTCGTATGGTCAATGATTCATTCCATGTAGCGGTGTGCTGTTGTTGTTCAAGATTCGCTACTTGGAACAAACGGTTCCAAGTAGCACGGGCTATGGTGAGCCCGTAGGTCCTTTAGCGGTGTGCGCTTGATGGCTGGCATTGAGCAAGTGACTCCATGACTTGGTGGTACATGGTGT